GATGGAAAAGATGATATTAATAAGTTGTTGGGACCCAAACTTGATATTGACAGCAGTCTATTGAGTTTACCAATATCACGTCAAGATGTTAAAGATTCGGTTTATCGTGCCAAGTTAAACAAAGCGGATGGTATTGACAATATACAAAGCAATGTCCTCAGAAACCCAGCTTGTATTGACCTTTTACATACTTTAATTGTTAATTGTTTTGATAATGATAGAGTTCCGGATAAGTGGACTCGAAGTATTATTAACCCTATTCTAAAAGCAGGAAAGGATCCACTAGACCCAATTAGTTATAGAGGAATTGCACTTATATCAATCCCATGTAAAATTTATGCCGATGTATTAACTACTCGGTTATCAAAATGAATTACTAGTAGATGAACAGAACGGGTTTATAAAAAACAGAAGTTACTTAGACCACCAGTATCTATTGTACTCTGTTTTGAATAACAGAAAGATCAAGAAAAAATCCACTATTGTATGTTTTGTTGATATGAAAAAAGCATTTGATTGTGTGAACAGAGACCTTTTATGGGCTAAGCTAGAACATTGTGGTATAGATGGTTGTTTTTTAAATGCTATCAAATCTTTATATTTTAACTATGAATGTAGAATTAGAATAAATCGTGTTTTAACCCCACCCATGGATATGAAGCAAGGTCTGAAACAAGGTTGTAATGCCTCGCCAACATTTGTTTCTATGTTCATAAATGATTTAGCAAAAGATATTAATGATTTGAAATGCCGTATAGATATTGAATGGTGTATTATCATGCTAGTGACATTGCACTCATTGCCCCCGATGACAATTCTATGCAACGGATGCTAGATGTTTTAAATAAATGGTGTAAAAAGTGGAAGATCGAAATTAATCAAGACAAAATTAACATAATCCATTTTAGAAATAATTCCATCCGTATTACCGATTATAAATTTTCATATGGTAACATAACTGTAACTTTGAATAGCAAATATAAGTACTTAGGACTCTGGTTTGAGGAACATTTAGATTTGCATTTTGCTGTCAGAGAACTCTGTAAATCTGCTTGTAGAGCACTTACAACTTTATATATAAGGTATTCACATGCCGGTGAAATGTCCTATGAAGTATTTAACAAGTTATATAAAACTTAAATTGAGCCGGTTCTTTTTTATGGATGTGGTTTATGGGGTATAAATAAATACCGAGAGGTTTCTGTCATACTACACAAGGCAAGTAGATATTTTCTAGGAGCCTCCCGTCGAGCAAGTAACTAAACACTCAGGGGTGATATGGGATGGCACTCTTGCAATGTAAGTCAAGTTTTAGAAACGACACGTTTATTTTCAAGAATAAAGTCTTGTGATGATAACAGACTCATGAAAAAGGTCCATCTATGGTCCGTTAGTCTAAAGCAATCTTGGGATTCTAGAATTTTGAAAATGATTGATGACAAAAATTTGAATGAAATTGTAAGCTCAACTTTTTCTGTTAAACACAAGATTAGACGAGTGAAAGAAAATTAATCATTTCAGATGCTGATGAATGGTACGAGTATATATGGAATGCTAGTGGTAATATAAATGGTAACAAGTTGAGAACTTACAGGACTTTTAAATCAAATTTAATACCAGATTCATATGTCATGCTTGTTAGAGAAAAGAGCAAACGAAGAGTACTATTTAATTTTAGATGTGGCTCTCTACCTCTAGCAGTGGAAACTGGCAGATACGCCAAACCTGTGATTCCACTAGAGGAACGCTTGAGTAAGATATGTACAAATGTAAATAACTGTATAGAGGATGAATTACACTTTTTAATTGAATGTGATGTATATAATGACATAAGATCAACCTTATTTAATGTAGCAAATAATATAAGAAATGATTTTGCAAGTCTTAATAACACTGACAAATTTAATTTTATAATGTCTTCCGAGGAATTACAAATTCCATTTGCAAACCACTTATATAATATGTACAGAAGACGTAGCAGTCTATGTGATTAGTTATAATTTTAAACGGTGTCTTGTAAGCCATTTAGGCTGAATATCATATGCAATTACATTTTCTATTTTATGCATTTGTTAAATATGATACCAGGTGTCAATCGGAAACATTTTTCATGAAAATAATCTTCCGTTTAAATTATAATTAACTACTAGTTAGTGTGAATTTAGCAGACCTCGCTGGTAGGGGGCTCCCCAACCCTTGGAAACCTAAATTGCACTACAATGTAGAACTAGGAAATTATTCATTTTATTTATCACCATTGTTATTTTTTAATTTTATTTTTTAAAGACATCATGTTTTAAGGCAGTAAATGTAAAAGAAACCTTTTAACTATTATAGTATTTAATATTTAAGGACAAAATCCAGGAGTTTGTTAGGTAGGGGCTGTCCCAATCACCTGCTCTCTGGATTGGCACATGTGATAGTTTATTTCTATTTATTAATTTATTATGTATAATAGCTGTTCTTAACAAAATTATGATATGGTCTATAGATTTTTACATTACGATGGTTGATCCCTGTTATGTAACTTTATGTTTTTATACTGTTTAACTATATACTTGTACGATGTAATTGTGATATATGACACTATAATAAACAAAATTGACTTGGCTTGACTTGACTATATTTATCTCGGTGGATATGGCTGATCCTAAATTATGACCATTCTGTATGATTATCGTAGAAACAATTTCTAACACTTGAGGGCAGTGGCAAATCAGCTTCCTAGGTCGCCCGCAGAAATTATCTTCACTCGCTGAGCTGAGGTTTTTTTTGCAACCTGCAAAAGATATAAATCATGCGAAGCTGTAGGTTTTCTGGTGAAGAGTTAATTAGGGCTACAGAATATAGAGAGTGATATGCCGGATTCAGAAACCACAAATTTCTTCAAGCGGCAAAACTACCACACGTACCTTGAACCCACGAGTTTTACAGTATTTAGTGAAAGTTTCTTCAGACAAAATAAAATACATATTATGTTGGTTACAGGTCCTAACTGGAACTACGATGACACTCATTGGAGAAAGTGAGGAAGAAGAGAACAGAAACCAGAAGTGACTAATATTCATTTTTGTGAAACGGGGAGAGGACAACAAAAATATAGAAATCCTATCTGTGCCTGTGGCTTCTAGATGGTAGCAGTTCGGAGAAGTCTTCTTTTCGGAATTGTGGAGATAATGATTAGAGGTTTATGAATCTCACTGTGCCTCGCATTTCAACATGCGAAAAGAAGAACTATCTCATCGGTATGTTGCAGGATAGGGATTTGGAGCTTTTCGAGAAAGCTGACATTGAAGGACCCAGGGGAAGTGACATAGAACAGTAAGTTGGCGAAGGATGTGACTTGGGGAGATATAGTTTGAATCCAACCTTGGAGGGCAGCGATTCATCAATTCTATTGAACTGCCAGTTCTGAGCAGAGGTTGAACTGCGTAGTGGTTGATGAAATCCTACAGATTAAACAAAAAAAAAGAACCCAAGATAAAGAGCCATTAGACAATACACATCCATGAAAACCCATGAAAATAAAGGAAACGGGAGGTAAGTGAAATAGAGAAAAATGCATCAGACCGCCAATACACAAGGACAGGATACCAACGTCAAATCGATACAAACACGCACCAACAGGAAAGGTCACAACCAAGACCTGGACAAGATGATACCATCCAGATTTTACACTTTTCATAGAGTTCTGGCGGAATCAAAAATCAAAAGCAACGCAAGTAATACAGGGCTATATGCAGTGCTAGCCAGACGAATGTTCGTCACAACAGTAAGAGACGTGGATATAACAGTTAAGTCGGATTCTAATCGTGAAAGTCGGATTTTAGATGTGAAGGTAGAACAAACTAATTTTGATTAGCCAGCTCATGCAGGACATGAAGGTGAACAGAGAGGACGCAGTGGCAGGTTACTTATTCTGGCAAATATACACGGTACCCATAGACTCATCTAGAAGGCTGAGCCAATTACTTATACAGACAGGAAACGAATGGCATGCGGAGTAACTAATGTTTGGGTTAAAGCTATCAAGACAACGTGACAGCAAGTTGAGACAGTACTAGTAACATTGTGTACTTGATTGACCTCTGTGTTATTGCAATGGATGTGATGATCGTTGAGGCAGTGAAGTGCGAGGCAACCCAGAAAACGCCCTAGCAAAGTGTTCAGGGATGATTCCAAAGTATGAACTGACAGCACGAGAAAGCAACATGGCCGTGAAATAAACAAGGGTCCGTAGTCAGGAAACTGTTCTCATGTTCAAGCATGGATTTTATGCTCAAGCTTATTTTTTTCAATATTTACATTTGACTTTTGAGTTAAAAGAAAGTTGATGTTTTGAGCAGATAATCCATTCTTGAGCATGGACATGGTTTCTTGAATACGGGCCCTCTACGTTTGATGTAAATGATCTTCCTTAGCATTTGACATCCATTGATAATGATAAAATGGTTCTCCCTGAGCAGAGGTGTGGCTTCCAATATATGGAACGGCCAAAGGCCTTACTGGCTTCTTAATTTCCAAAAGGCAAATGCTTACCAAAATAAGTGCAAATTATCGCCTCGTGACCAGTTGCTGCGTTGACATCTGACTGGTTGAGCCGTTTCCGACTTACCCATCTGGTCAATATAGTACACCAAACTTGAACAGAATAAAGTTTTCGTGGTCCTAAACTTTTATTGTTTTTATGATTATTTGAAGTCCAAAATTAGTTGATTAGCTGAAACTTTTTTTTACTAACTCTCAATTCCATTTGAACGATTGCTTTTACCAAATGCAGTCTATCATTTTAGAAATCTGAGATGGTCGCCATGGTCTCAAATGTAGAATCATTTCACGACCTTGTTTGGGTCAGATAGAAATAAAACAGCTGAGCAATACCTTTTCAATTGAAAAAAAGAGAGAAAGATATTCAAACATTATTATGTCTACAATTCAGCGAAAGAATGCTATTGTCTTCCTGGTTAAATTATATATTTTATTAATAAAAGTAAGCTGTTGAGATTGATTAACCCCTCATACAAAAGCTGCAATTAAAATGAGCTTGAGAGGACAATCTGGTATTTCATTCTGTCGTTTCTTAAATCAAATGGCGCGCCTCCGGGAAGTTTTGATAGAATTACCCTTCTTTGACTTGGCAAGAGCGTACCGGGCCATCTTCGTTTTTGATTTGACGAGATCGTATTTTCCCTGTCCGAGATTGATCACATCGGAGAGAATGATGACCGAAAAGAATGCTAACATGAGACACACACCAGATATTCCCAGCGCTTTGGAGGTAACCCTGTTGTCGTCGGCACTGATGTGCGTACGTATGTAGGAGGACAACAACCTCTTGTTGAGAGTGAGATCTTCACGAATCCCACTCAGCCATCTACGTAAGATCGCTTCGGTGATTATATCTTTGTTCGCTTTACAGAATGTTCGACATGTGCTGACATTGTTTACTGACGTGCTGTTGTGGTAGATACATTGTCCGGACAACAATGCAGTACTACTTTCAGTTGGCGGAGTGCTACTTTCTGTTGGCGGAGAGCTACTTTCTGTTAGCGGAGTGCTACTTTCTGTTGATGGTGAAGTGATTGTCATTGAAGCCGTACTACTTTCCGTTGACGCTGTACCTGGTTCCATTGAAGTGGTAATGCCAAAAGCTGTAGATGTCTCTGCGTGTGAAAAGAAGTCAGAGGAGGTTAATGCTAACACAATAAAAAGTTAAACCTATACTTAACACAAAATAAATAGTAAAACCTATACTTAACACACAATAAAAAGGAAAACCTATACTTAACACACAATCAATAGTAGAACCTATACTTAACACACAATAAATAATAAAACCTATACTTAACACACAATTAATAGTAAAACATATACTTAACACACAATAAATAGTAAAACCTATACTTAATACACAATAAATAGCAAAACCTATACCTATAACACAATAAATAGTAAAACATAAACTTAACAAACAATAAATAGTAAAACCTATACTTAACACACAATAAATAGTAGAACCTATACTTAACACACAATAAATAGTAAAACATATACTTAACACACAATCAATGGTAAAACCTATACATAAAACACAATAAATAGTAGAACCTATACTTAACACACAATAAATTGTAAAACATATATTTAACACACAATAAATAGTAAAACATACACTTAACACACAATATATAGTAAAACCTGTACTTAACACACAATAAATAGTAAAACAAATACTTAACAAACAATAAATAGTAAAACCTATACTTAACACACAATAAATAGTAAAACATATACTTAACACACAATAGATATTAAAACATATACTTAACACACAATAAATAGTAGACCCTATACTTAACACACAATAAATAGTAGACCCTATACTTAACACACAATAAATAGTAAAACCTATACTTAACACACAATAAATAGTAGAACCTATACTTAACACACAATAAATAGTAAAACCTATACTTAACACACAATAAATAGTAAAACCTATACTTAACACACAATAAATAGTAAAACCTATACTTAACACACAATAAATAGTAGAACCTATACTTAACACACAATAAATAGTAAAACATATACTTAACACACAATCAATGGTAAAACCTATACATAAAACACAATAAATAGTAGAACCTATACTTAACACACAATAAATTGTAAAACATATATTTAACACACAATAAATAGTAAAACATACACTTAACACACAATATATAGTAAAACCTGTACTTAACACACAATAAATAGTAAAACAAATACTTAACAAACAATAAATAGTAAAACCTATACTTAACACACAATAAATAGTAAAACATATACTTAACACACAATAAATAGTAAAACATATACTTAACACACAATAGATATTAAAACATAAACTTAACACACAATAAATAGTAGACCCTATACTTAACACACAATAAATAGTAGACCCTATACTTAACACACAATAAATGGTAAAACCTATACTTAACACACAATAAATAGTAGAACCTATACTTAACACACAATAGATAGTAAAACCTATACTTAAAACACAATAAATAGTAAAACCTATACTTAACACACAATAAATAGTAGAACCTATACTTAACACACAATAAATAGTAAAACCTATACTTAACACACAATAAATAGTAAAACCTATACTTAACACACAATAAATAGTAAAACCTATACTTAACACACAATAAATAGTAAAACCTATACTTAACACACAATAAATAGTAAAACCTATACTTAACACACAATAAATAGTAAAACCTATACTTAACACACAATAAATAGTAAAACATATACTTAACACACAATAAATAGTAAAACATATACTTAACGCACAATAGATATTAAAACATAAACTTAACACGCAATAAATAGTAGACCCTATACTTAACACACAATAAATAGTAGACCCTATACTTAACACACAATAAATGGTAAAACCTATACTTAACACACAATAAATAGTAGAACCTATACTTAACACACAATAGATAGTAAAACCTATACTTAAAACACAATAAATAGTAAAACCTATACTTAACACACAATAAATAGTAGAACCTATACTTAACACACAATAAATAGTAAAACCTATACTTAACACACAATAAATAGTAAAACCTATACTTAACACACAATAAATAGTAGAACCTATACTTAACACACAATAAATAGTAAAACCTATACTTAACACACAATAAATAGTAAAACCTATACTTAACACACAATAAATAGTAGAACCTATACTTAACACACAATAAATAGTAAAACCTATACTTAACACACAATAAATAGTAAAACCTATACTTAACACACAATAAATAGTAGAACCTATACTTAACACACAATAAATAGTAAAACCTATACTTAACACACAATAAATAGTAAAACCTATACTTAACACACAATAAATAGTAGAACCTATACTTAACACACAATAAATAGTAAAACCTATACTTAACACACAATAAATAGTAGAACCTATACTTAACACACAATCAATAGTAAAACCTATACTTAACACACAATCAATAGTAAAACCTATACTTAAAACACAATAAATAGTAGACCCTATACTTAACACACAATCAATAGTAAAACATAAACTTAACACACAATAAATAGTAAAACATAAACTTAACACACAATAAATAGTAAAACATAAACTTAACACACAATAAATAGTAAAACCTATACTTAACACACAATAAATAGTAAAACATACTTAACACACAATAAATAGTAGACCCTATACTCAACACACAATAAATAGTAGACCCTATACTTAACACACAATAAATGGTAAAACCTATACTTAACACACAATAAAAAGTAGAACCTATACTTAACACACAATAGATAGTAAAACCTATACTTAACACACAATAAATAGTAAAACCTATACTTAACACACAATCAATAGTAAAACCTATACTTAACACACAATCAATAGTAGAACCTATACTTAACACACAATAAATTGTAGAACCTATACTTAACACACAATAAATAGTAAAACATACACTTAACACACAATAAATAGTAGAACCTATACTTAACACACAATCAATAGTAAAACATAAACTTAACACAAAATAAATAGTAAAACCTATACTTAACACACAATAAATAGTAAAACCTATACTTAACACACAATCAATAGTAAAACCTATACTTAAAACACAATAAATATTAAAACTTATACTTAAAACAAAATAAATAGTAAAACCTATACTTAAAACACTATCAAATAGTAACACCTATACTTAAAACACAATAAATAGTAAAACATATACTTAACACACAATAAATAGTAAAACCTATACTTAAAACACTATCAAATAGTAAAACCTATACTTAAAACAAAATAAATAGTAAAACCTATACTTAAACACAATAAATAGTAAAACCTATACTTAAAACACAATAAATAGTAAAATCTATACTTAAAACACTATCAAATAGTAAAATCTATACTTAAAACACAATAAATAGTAAAACCTATACTTAAAAAACTATCAAACAGTAAAACCTATACTTAACACAAAATAAATAGTAAAACATATACTTAAAACACAATAAATAGTAAAACCTATACTTAAACACAATCAATAGTAAAACCTATACTTAAAACTCAATAAATAGTAAAACCTATACTTAAAAAACTATCAAACAGTAAAACCTATACTTAAAACACAATCAATAGTAAAACCTATACTTAAAACACAATAAATAGTAAAACCTATACTTAAACACAATCAATAGTAAAACCTATACTTAAAACACAATAAATAGTAAAACCTATACTTAAACACAATCAATAGTAAAACCTATACTTAAAACTCAATAAATAGTAAAACCTATACTTAAAACACAATAAAATGTTTCAGAATTTAGTGAGGGGAAAACTGTGAAATCGTTAAAGAAAAATATGAAGAAATTAATTTTAATCATGTCTAGCTAAGCAGATCAGCGCTAAAATTCTATCCTAGATAATCCAGCCACCTTCGTTGTCATGGTGATGAAAGAATGACTGGAATTAGACAAAGGATTCTTCTCCCTAATAATACTGTCCGGATAAGAAAACCACCGGTTTGTAGCTGCTGTATCAGCTAGGATATAATGTGGCAAATCATGATAACATTTGTTCCCGTAACCCTTACAATTATTGCAATTTAAATGATATATGCTATTGAATAAATAAGACATTTCATAGGAGTCTAGATTTCTAGAACAAACATCCAAATATGTAAGATGTCTTATTTTATATGTTTTATTACGTATCTGCAGTACTATATATAAGGCGTTTTAAAGTGATATACGTTATCCTAAATACGTCATAAGATACTTATAAAGCCATATAGATATTTAATAATGGTATGCCTAAATTATTCAATGATCTACGTAGCAGCTCTTTGTAGCTGGAGTCGTGGCTTGCTCATTTATACGTCAGTGACTATATTCTGCCGATTGTTTGTTTCGATTTCACTACCGGTCATTAGATGAGATTCATTGTGATGCCATTTCATTTTGACCAGACCACCATACCAAGGTTCTTATGTCGAGATGGATTGATAACGTACTTGTTTAGACTAGACATTGAATGTTCTGTAGCCAATGACTACCAGGTAACAACCCCGCTGACTACCGTTTTTGTCTGTACCTCTTTATCCTTGAATGAAGCTAAGGAATTCATTGATTTTCTACGCGGACCGACTAATGAAGTCACGATAATATTCCGAGATTAAAAAGACCTTAATACGGATTAACCTGTTGTCACCAATGAAACATATTTCAAATTGATTGCTTACGCATCTCGTAATTAACTGCATTCAGATTTTTTATTACACTTTCACCGTTAAAACGTAGAGAATCTAAATTGTGATTCAGGCGAAACTTTAAAGGTTCGTTTCGCCCTTTTTTCTTATCAACAGGCTTAAACTGGGTTTATTCCCTTGAACTGTATAGCAAAAGTTATTAACTTTCCATTAATACCACACTCAGAGTTTGAAACGCGTTAAACATATGAATGAAAATGGAATTCGATTTCATTTTCTTACGTGACGTTAAGAATTCGACGATTTACATAATGTCACGTCACTATGGGCCAATTAAAATGACGATATTTCTTGTCAAATTTTGGCGCGCTTCTACTGTTATTACCATCATTTCTTGTCAATAAAACTTCATTAGTAAACCAAGTGACGTAATCAATTAATCTTTATCAATTAAGATGGAAGCGCGTATACGTGTGGTGTGTAAACATTACCTCTGACCAGGATAAATGAATATAAACTTTATTTATTTTAAAACAATAATGAAACAAGTTATTTCAACTTATATTAATCACTCTTGTTGGCCCGGATGTTAGCGCGCGGGGGGGTTTCTTGTGAGAGAAAACCTGAGTACCCGGAGAAAACCCTCGTGGTTAGGCAGGTGACCCCATACCTTTTCACGTCCGATCGGGGAATCGAACCCCAATCGCCTTGGTGAAAGGCAAGTGCGCTATCCACTGCACCATCCAACCACCTCTGACTATACTAACCCTGTGTTATCATCGGTAACGTGCTAGGTGCCACACTAGCTGTAGACGATACAGGATAACCTGTAAAAAAATAGTAAAGGAACAACAATAAACAAAACACTTATCAGCCTTAGTTGTAGGGGATAATAATACACAAAACACTTATCAGCCACACTTGTACAACAAAACATGTATCAGCCAAAGTTGTAGGGGATAATAATACACAAAACACTTATCAGCCACAGTTGTAGGGGACAATAATACACAAAACACTTATCAGCCACAGTAGTAGGGGATAATAATACACAAAACACTTATCAGCCACACTTGTACAACAAAACATGTATCAGCCAAAGGTGTAGGGGATAATAATACACAAAACACTTACCAGCCACAGTAGTAGGGGATAATGATACCCAAAACATGTATCAGCCACAGTAGTAGGGGATAATGATACAAAAAACACTTATCAGCCACAGTAGTAGGGGACAATAATACACAAAACACTTATCAGCCACACTTGTACAACAAGACATGTATCAGCCAAAGTTGTAGGGGATAATAATACACAAAACACTTATCAGTCATAGTTGTAGGGGACAATAATACACAAAACACTAATCAGCCACAGTAGTAGGGGATAATGATACACAAAACATGTATCAGCCATAGTAGTAGGGTATAATGATGCACAAAACATGTATCAGCCATAGTAGTAGGGTATAATGATGCACAAAACATGTATCAGCCACAGTAGAAGGGGATAATGATACACAAAACACTTATCAGCCACAGTAGTAGGGGACAATAATACACAAAACATGTATCAGCCATAGTAGTAGGGGATAATGATGCACAAAACATGTATCAGCCATAGTAGTAGGGGATAATAATAAACAAAACACTTATCAGCCACAGTAGTAGGGGATAATAATACACAAAACCCTTATCAGCCACAGTAGTAGGGGATAATGATACACAAAACACTTATTAGCCACAGTTATAGGGGATAATAATACAAAAAACACTTATCAGCCACAGTAGTAGGGGACAATAATACCCAAAACATGTACCAGCCATAGTAGTAGGGGATAATGATGCCCAACACATGTATCAGCCACAGTAGTAGGGGATAATGATACACAAAACACTTACCAGCCACAGTAGTAGGGGATAATGATGCACAAAACACTTATCAGCCACAGTAGTAGGGGATAATGATGCAAAAAACATTTATCAGCCATAGTTGTAGGGGATTACAATACACAAAACACTTATCAGCCACAGTTGTAGGGAATAATAATACACAAAACACTTATCAGCCACAGTTGTAGGGGACAACAATACACAAAACACTTATCAGCCACAGTAGTAGGGGATAATAATACACAAAACACTTATCAGCCACAGTAGTAGGGGATAATAATACACAAACCATGTATTAGCCATAGTTGTAGACGCTACAGGATAACCTGTAAAAAAATAGTAAAGGAACAACAATAAACAAAACACTTATCAGCCAAAGTTGTAGGGGATNGGACAACAATACACAAAACATTTATCAGCCATAGTAGTAGGGGATAATAATACACAAAACACTTATCAGCCACAGTAGTAGGGGATAATAATACACAAAACACTTATTAGCCACAGTTATAGGGGATAATAATACAAAAAACACTTATCAGCCACAGTAGTAGGGGACAACAATACACAAAACATTTATCAGCCATAGTAGTAGGGGATAATAATACACAAAACACTTATCAGCCACAGTAGTAGGGGATAATAATACACAAAACACTTATTAGCCACAGTTATAGGGGATAATAATACAAAAAACACTTATCAGCCACAGTAGTAGGGGACAACAATACACAAAACATTTATCAGCCATAGTAGTAGGGGATGATAATACACAAAACATTTATCAGCCACAGTAGTAGGGGATAATAATACACAAAACACTTATCAGCCACAGTAGTAGGGTATAATAATACACAAAACACTTATTAGCCACAGTAGTAGGGGATAATGTTACACAAAACATTTATAAGCCATAGTAGTAGGAGATAATAATACACAAAACACTTATTAGCCACAGTTATAGGGGATAATAATACAAAAAACACTTATCAGCCACAGTAGTAGGGGATAATGTTACACAAAACATTTATCAGCCATAGTAGTAGGAGATAATAATACACAAAACACTTATCGGCCATAGTAGTAGGGGATAATGTTACACAAAACCCTTATCAGCCACAGTAGTAGGGGATAATAATACACAAAACACTTATCAGCCACAGTTGCAGGGGACAATAATACAGAAAACACTTATCAGCCACAGTAGTAGGGGATAATGTTACACAAAACATTTATACAAAACACTTATCAGCCACAGTAGTAGGGGATAATGTTACACAAAACATTTATCAGCCATAGTAGCAGGAGATAATAATACACAAAACACTTATCAGCCACAGTTGTAGGGAATAATAATACACAAAACACTTATCAGCCACAGTTGTAGGGAATAATAATACACAAAACACTTATCAGCCACAGTTGTAGGGAATAATAATACACAAAACACTTATCAGCCACAGTTGTAGGGAATAATAATACACAAAACACTTATCAGCCACAGTTGTAGGGAATAATAATACACAAAACACTTATCAGCCACAGTAGTAGGGGACAACAATACACAAAACATTTATCAGCCATAGTAGTAGGAGATAATAATACACAAAACACTGTATCAGCCATAGTAGTAGGGGATAATGATGCACAAAACATTTATCAGCCATAGCAGTAGGGGATAATAATACACAAAACACTTATCAGCCACAGTTGCAGGGGACAATAATACAGAAAACACTTATCAGCCACAGTAGTAGGGGAGAATGATGCACAAAACACTTATCAGCCACAGTAGTAGGGTATAATAATACACAAAACACTTATTAGCCACAGTTATAGGGGATAATAATACAAAAAACACTTATCAGCCACAGTAGTAGGGGATAATGTTACACAAAACATTTATCAGCCATAGTAGTAGAGTAGTAGGGGATAATGATGCACAAAACACTTATCAGCCACAGTAGTAGGGGATTATAATACACAAAACATTTATCAGCCATAGTAGTAGGGGACAACAATACACAAAACATGTATTAGCCACAGTTATAGGGGATAACAATAAAAAAATAAAATAATTTATTAGCCAAAGTTGTAGTAGATAACAATCAACCAAACATATATTCGCCAAAGTTGTAGGCGACAATAATAAACAAAACATCTATTAGCCACACTTGTAGGGAATAAAAATAAGCAAAACATTTATTAGCCAAAGTTGTAATAGATAACAATCAACCAAACATATATTAGCCATAGTTGTAGGTGATGATAATACACAAAACATTTATAAGCCACAGTTGTAGGGGACAATAATAAACAAAAAATGTATTAGCTACAGTTGTAGGGGACAACAATAAACAAACATCCGCCGAGTTGTAAAGACGAAAAACATAAGGAAATATTTTTAACCACCTAGTCGTGAGGTAATAATATAAACAAAACATTTATTAGCCACAGTTGTAAGAGAACATCAAAAGAAAAATGTATTATCCGCCAAGTTTTAAAGGAAAAAATATAAAAGGAGTTATTATTAACCACCTAGTCGATAAGGGATAACAAATAACGAAAACATTATTGACCACCTTGTCGTTAAGGGATAACAAATAACGAAAACATTATTGACCACCTAGTCGTTAAGGGATAACAAATAACGAAAACAGTATTGACCACCTAGTCGTTAAGGGATAACAAATAACGAAAACATTTTTGATCACCTAGTCGTTAAGGGATAACAAATAACGAAAACAGTATTGACCACCTAGTCGTTAAGGGATAACAAATAACGAAAACAGTATTGACCACCTAGTCGTTAAGGGATAACAAATAACGAAAACAGTATTGACCACCTAGTCGTTAAGGGATAACAAATAACGTAAACATTATTGACCACCTGGTCGTTAGGGGATAACAAATAACGAAAACAGTATTGACCACCTAGTCATTAAGAGATAACAAATAACGAAAACATTATTGACCACCTAGTCGTTAGGGGATAACAAATAACGAAAACATTATTGACCACCTGGTCGTTAAGGGACAACAAATAACGAAAACATTATTGACCACCTAGTCATTAAGAGATAACAAATAACGAAAACATTATTGACCACCTGGTCGTTAAGGGACAACAAATAACGAAAACATTATTGACCACCTAGTCGTCAGGGGATAACAAATAACGAAAACATGTATTAACCACCTAGTCGTTAGGGGATAAGAAATAACGAAAATATTGATTAACCACCTCGTCGTTAGGGGATAACAAATAACGAAAATATTAATTAACCACCTGGTCGTTAAGGGATAACAAATAACGTAAACATTATTGACCACCTGGTCGTTAGGGGAGAACAAATAACGAAAACAGTATTGACCACCTAGTCGTTAAGGGATAACAAATAACGTAAACATTATTGGCCAACTTGTCGTTAAGGGATAAACAATAACGTAAACATTATTGGCCACCTTGTCGTTAAGGGATAAACAATAACGTAAACATTATTGGCCACCTTGTCGTTAAGGGATAAACAATAACTTAAACATTATTGGCCACCTTGTCGTTAAGGGATAAACAATAACGTAAACATAATTGATCACCTAGTCGTTATGGGATAACAAATAACGTAAACATTATTGACCACCTGGTCGTTATGGGATAACAAATAACGTAAACATTATTGACCACCTAGTCGTTAAGGGATAACAAATAACGTAAACATTATTGGCCACCTTGTCGTTAAGGGATAACAAATAACGTAAACAGTATTGGCCACCTTGTCGTTAAGGGATAACAAATAAAGTAAACATTATTGGCCACCTTGTCGTTAAGGGATAACAAATAATGTAAACATTATTGACCACCTGGTCGTTACGGGATAACAAATAACGAAAACATTATTAACCACCTAGTCGTTAGGGGATAACAAATAACGAAAACATGTATTAACCACCTGGTCGTTAAGGGATAACAAATAACGTAAACAGTATTGACCACCTAGTGGTTAAGGGATAACAAATAACGAAAACATTATTGACCACCTAGTCGTTAAGGGATAACAAATAACGAAAACATTATTGACCACCTAGTCGTTAGGGGATAACAAATAACGAAAACATGTATTAACCACCTGGTCGTTAAGGGATAACAAATAACGTAAACAGTATTGACCACCTAGTCGTTAAGGGATAACAAATAACGAAAACATTATTGACCACCTAGTCGTTAGGGGATAACAAATAACGAAAACATGTATTAACCACCTAGTCGTTAAGGGATAACAAATAACGTAAACAGTATTGACCACCTAGTCGTTAAGGGATAACAAATAACGAAAACATTATTGACCACCTAGTCGTTAGGGGATAACAAATAACGAAAACATGTATTAACCACCTAGTCGTTAAGGGATAACAAATAACGTAAACAGTATTGACCACCTAGTCGTTAAGGGATAACAAATAACGAAAACATTATTGACCACCTAGTCGTTAGGGGATAACAAATAACGAAAACATGTATTAACCACCTAGTCGTTAAGGGATAACAAATAACGTAAACAGTATTGACCACCTAGTCGTTAAGGGATAACAAATAACGAAAACATTATTGACCACCTAGTCGTTAGGGGATAACAAATAACGAAAACATGTATTAACCACCTAGTCGTTAAGGGATAACAAATAACGTAAACAGTATTGACCACCTAGTCGTTAAGGGATAACAAATAACGAAAACATTATTGACCACCTAGTCGTTAGGGGATAACAAATAACGAAAACATGTATTAACCACCTAGTCGTTAAGGGATAACAAATAACGAAAACATTATTGACCACCTAGTCGTTAGGGGATAACAAATAACGAAAACATGTATTAACCACCTAGTCGTTAAGGGATAACAAATAACGTAAACAGTATTGACCACCTAGTCGTT